ACATATATATAGAATCAGTTTTCTACGACACTTTGAAACAAAAAAAGTTAGACACCATTCATGGAAATTTATTGATTTTTCTGAGGCCTTGTCGGCCTACTATCCATGCCAAGATGTTTTGATATCGACATATTAATATTATAATATTAATGATATTTTATGCATCAAAATTAAAACACAGGAATATAATATGTTTGTTTACTAATATTTATGAACAATTATAAATTTGTAAAAATATGATTTATCATATAAAGGCTATATAAGAAACAATAAATGCTGAAATATGTGATGCAAATAATTAGAAGTCTTTGCAACAATGAAGCAAGACTAATTACTTATGTAACTTCTTATGAATAATAAATAAAATATGCTGCAATTATATTGATACGATTGAGAAAACTACAATTAACTAGGGATCTAATACAAGTAGTAAAGATAACGCCCCTAACTAAGAACAATATGTTCATAATAAAGAGCAATTACTTACCTTGATACCAACGCTAAACTCCAAATTTATCCTACACAATTCAGAATCCCAAAAATATAAATATTATGCAATTAAATATATGAAGATTAATTATTTATTAGGTTAGGTGTAGATATTAATTTGAAAACTAACATTATTATAATCTAATGAAATTTCCGTGTAACATAATAAATTTAATTGATTTTAAATTTGATGACAATATTATCGAAAAAATAGATAAATCAAGGAGCATGGTCACCTTTCTCGACTACGATGGTGGTAAGGAGCACAGGGCTGCAAAGTTGCTAGAAGTAGGAGAAATATAGGAGTTTCATTGGCTTATATAAGCCATGATCATGTCGTTTTCTTCACGGCTAGCTCTAATCATGAAGGTTTTGAGAGAAGAGAGACCTTCAGTGTTTGCAAAGAAAGAGGGTTGTCTTGCTTTGATCTCAATCGTCCTTATATCAAGCAAAGAGGTGGGAATGAACGAAAGAAAAAAAAAAAAAACAGGGAGGGTAGCGTCCAAATTGAAAGGGCGGTTCACACGAAAGAGGAAGGCGGTGAAGCAAGGAAGGAAAGAAGTCCCAATTCGGAAGGTGGCTAGCAAAAGGGAAAGAAAGCAATCCATCCAATCCAGGAGGCAGGGCAGTGCGTCATCAATGTAGTATTTGCGAAAAAATTATTTTGGATCCTACACCTCTTACCTGATATCTTGATTTCAGCTATGGAACATCTATCCAAGAAGTAAAATTCTATGGATGATTAAGATTTGTATCATGCACCATGCAGTATCCATACCAGCTATAATGAGCTTGCAGAAGTAATTTTATCATGTTCTTGGTCGTTTTAGAAATAGTTGGATATAATAAAGGAAAATTTGAGCCTAATGCTAAAGAAAGCTTAGGATAACTGTGTAGAGTGCAATGCAACATAGACCATGAGATCTATGAAATGATCAATGGTCAAGGAGATTGATAACTATTTATTTTATATGTTTTCTTTTAATTGTTGTAATAAACAGCCAATTTGTGCTCTATTTTATTTGCATTGCTTGTATCATTGTACAAGTGTATGTAAAGACATGTTTATAAGGGTTTATTGTGAATTCCTCAACCACCATAAAGGATCATTTCTTGAAAAGATGCATGTTGGCATCCAGAAAATTCAAGCGAAAAATCATGGACAAGAGTGATCAGCCAAGGGCTTGGAGCTGCATTCAAATTATGGTAGTTTCACAAGGATGACATATACAACTCATCCCCACAACAGGGAGACATCCAAGGATCCTCATAAGTTCATGGTCCTATGTTTCTCCATTGCTCACGATCAATGGGCTGATCTTGCAACTTCTCATAGAACCACATGCACTTCCTACAGTTAAGGTGTCATCTCCAACATCTAGGGTTTTATAAATTTCTGATTCTGTTCTATAAAATAGGGTGAATATTATATAATAGGGATGTGAATTGAAGTTTGATTATTATTGGAATGAAATTCAGAAGTTTTTGCATGTACTTTTACCTCTCTATAGATTGGTGGTCGAGACCCCTAGTTTCTAGTGAGATTAGGTTAGTTTATTGCTTTTATTATTTGTGCTCTCAAACCACTCTATATTCATCATCCTCATGTCATATTTAGCCTATTAACATCTCCAGCCTTCTCTCCACAATGTAAAAGAAAATCTTAACAACTCTTAGCTTTTCCCATTCCATCAAACCTTAGCTAACCGCTGTCTTCCTAAGCCTCCAAACTTAAAACCCCATCCACAAAATTCCAGAACTAATTTAAGCGCTTCCTTTTAACCCTGGAAAACACCAAATAGCCATTATAACCTTCCTTAAGTCATCCCCAAAATTCTTTTTTAAAGGCTCATTATAGGTTTCCACTAGTTTCAGGTAATTATGCCTCATTCTACACATATGCACTACATTCATCTAAATTCTAGAAATACCTCATCTGTTGCCACCATCATTAACCTCTTTCTCTATATTTTAACAATCTTACTTGACTGCTTAAAGCCTTCCCCCAAGACATATAGCTTTTTGTTGTGAATTACTATTTGTAAAGCCTTCTCCCAAGAAATATAGATGCTCTCAATTTTATTTGATGAATGTAAGGAATTTCTAAATCTTAGGACTTTTACATGCCAGGATTTAGAAATTGTATTAAAGCTGCATGAAGTGTGCATTTTTCAAATGATATAATAGAAATTTTCTCATTCTATTATTTTCTTGTCCATGTCTTAGTCTTTTCTATTTTTTCTTTTTTTTTAATCTTTTGCTTCTCATATAAAGTTTAATTCTTTCTTCTTTCCCCGAAATGCAGAGCTGAATATGACCCAAAAAATGATTTACTGGATCAAGAATTCATGCTAAAAGGTAGATGGTTCACGAGAAAGGACTTAGAGGTACTTATGATGTGCTAGTTCATGTAGCTTGCTGCTTATTTTTAGCATGGTAGATCTGGAATTGTTTTTAAAAAACACTAATTGCTTAGTATTTCAAATTCATCAATGAATAATTTGATTTTTCTTTGATATTGTAGAGATCTTTTAGTTGTTATTTTTTCTCCTTATAATCTGATTGATTATAGAGCGTGCTTTACATCCGCATCTATGTTAGATGATGACTTTGTTGCACACATTTTTTGCATGTGAAATAACACACACACACACACACTTATATATATAACAAGAAGCCGCATCGATCAGCA